AAATAATAATTGTAATTCCTGTTTCATCCTCAACTGGTCACATAATTAATTAATGCACACATAATTAATTAATATTTTATGGAATTCCTGAGTAACTAGAAAACGAAATAAAAGAATGCGAGTGTTCCAATCATAGACAGTGGTGAGGTCTTCTAGTTGACAAATTCAAGATCTGATCCCTAGACTCACATTTTTTTATATTCCATATTTATTTAATATAATTTTAATTATACATGTCAGTGCATAAACTAATACTATTAATTCTAATTTAATAAATTAATATGACACATAAATAAATAAATCATAAATAAATAAATAAATAAACAAGTTAATTAAAATATATGAATATCTTAATTTAGTTTTTTATTTTAAAAATGGTTTTTACTTTGTATTAATTAACACTAAAATATTTTAAATAACAACGTTTAATGATTTTCTTTCAAATAAGAACCATTTTCGTTACTTGATGATTTTACTTTCGTAAACTTAAGCTCTTTTTTTTAGTTAACTTGGATATCCAACCCGTTATTGAGCCGACTAATCTCAGGGCAATCACCTGTTTTGCAGGTAGCCCGAATTCACCGTATTTAAACCTCTGTGGCCATAAGGGGATTTTTGTTCCTTCTTGGATTTGAACCTGTGACCTCCAGACTATTTTTTGTATTGTGTGCAAAAGAAGGATTTTTAGAAAAATAGAGTTTTCTTAATATAAAATGGGTAACGCAAATGAGACGTATATTTAATAGAAAATGCATGACTTTTTTGCTAGTTGGATTAATATAATATCTACTCTTTGAGTTTCAATTTAACGATTGTCATTATAATATGGTTTCGAAGATCTTGTAAAAAGGCATGATTTTTTGAGGCCTTTGTGTGTAGTTCGAATATTTTATAAATTTTGTAAACAAAATCCTAAAAATGAAAAACAAAGTATCAGTTTATAATTACAAACAAACGCTTTTTAAAATACTGGATATATCATAAACATAACATAGTTTTATAGTGGAACTTCTATACATTCCAACTTCAAGTGTGTGTATATATATATATATATATATATATATATATATATAGGGTATATTTCTTTTACAACCTTGTGCATTTGTACAACCTTTGCAACCCAATTAATTGAGATATTTATAGAAATGATTGTAGTTCATTTATTATGATTTGAATATTTATGGAATATGAATAGAGTTTATGAATTATGATTAATACTTTATATTAGGAAACAATTAATTGATTAAAAATTGAATGGTTGAGATGAGGGTTGTATAGGGTGTAGGAATGGCAAAGGGTGTAGAATAACATCCCTCTATATATATATATATATATATATATTTAGGATCATGTGAGATATGTTTGTTTTCATGAGACACGATTTTTACACTTGAAACTTCATAACAAAATACTGTAAAGGAAACATTCACAGTGTTTTCAATATTTTGTTGTGAAGTTTCAAGTGTAAAAATCATGTCTCACGAAAATAGCATTGTCTCACGTGAACCCAACCCTACACACACATACACATATATATACATATATAGATACATACACACACACACACACACATATATATATATATATATATATGGGAGCGATCAAATGCAAACCACTCAATTTGTACAAACCGTGCAAACCGCATTCAACCAATCATAATTTTTCATTTTGTTCATTTTTTTGTAATTAT